TTGCAAAGGTGGTGTTTGGGGGAGGGAGAGGAGTGATAATACGAGAGAGATGAGGTTGTTTGTGATCAGACGATTTCAAAAGTTTCACGGTGGTTGCCCGATGCGAGGGGGCCCAAGCTCCCCAAGCGAGACGCACCTTTCCGATCCTGATGGATCCCAGCACGACGCTTGCTGGGGTGTTCAGCTCTTGTGGAGGTCGATCTCTGAGATGCGAAAACGGGAGTTTCTATTGAAGACGAAGACATTACTCGCCTTCAAGAAGCAGTAGGAGTCCGAGGAAGTTGTATCTCCTCCATGTATGTTCTGCAGAAGTATACTTTTCACCAGACTGTAAACAAACAAATCCGCTTCCTTTGTCCAAGCAACGCCATTAGCCGATCCGACCCGCCCACACCCCTCACTCAGACTGAACCACCTTTGCATTTAACTCTCCACCATTCCAATTTGGCCATGGCCCAAGCTTAATTGACTGATCATTTTCTCATTTGATATCACAGGATACGGAAATCACCCACAGCCGCTTCGATAGCATCTGTCTCGCTGCTCCCACGTATGAAGAACACCGAGAGTCGCTTTGCATGTCTTTACCTTTGCTTCGTCGCTTTTACGGCCGCAACATTTCTCTGATATCGCTCCCTGTGGAATGCAGTACACAGTCCCAACTTTTGAGGCAGTTGGTACAGGAGATCTTCAGATCTAGGCCTTTACCCTCAGTATCCGATGCTTCACCGGTCGTAGCTTGAAGTTAGTGCTCTGGCGCCCCCAGGTTACACCACTTGCTTTCTTTTGCATTGATCGTCTTCGGCAATCTGGCGTTACCTCTTACAGAACACAATAAGATCTTGGGGACTGGGTCCGTACATATCGGTATTCATATTTCATATAGCTGCCGTTACGCCGCCAATTAATTCCCCACCCCGGCACTGCGTTTGTCCCGAATTGGCCCAACTGTGTACTGCACCCAGAGTATTCCGCCGGGCATCGCTCCTGATAAGTCTTGGGGCGTTAGATCATATGGCTTTCTATAGCTGGGTCTCAGTTGCTGGTCCATTCGTTTGTCTGTGCTTCGTGTTATTGGCTTCGCAAGGAATGTTGGCATCAAAGAGTGGCTTTCTCTTTCTAGTTCATATCGCACTCCATCTATATAATGTAGACCCATGTCCACCACCTCATGCGGAGGGTTACAAAGTATCTTGGATCTATCTCACCTCAACCTTCCCAACCATCACCGTTTTGTGCAGCTCATCAAGATCTTTAGCCTTGCCAGCCAGCTAATTTACTTTTTCCTGACTAACAATCATGCCACCCTCGAAACCAAAACCATCGGAAATTGCGGCTGAAGCAAAGAAAACATACATCCCCTACATTCGTTCAAATCTAAATGAAAAATGGCCCGCTACTTCTTACCTCTGCTATTCAGACGTCATGGTAGCTCAGCCGCCGCCAAAAGAAAACGCACAGCATTGCCGCTTCGGTAGTATTTCAAGGACTACAACTGTTTGATTCTGAAGCTTACAACCCACCAGCTTTTTATGAGCGTGATCCAGTTGATCTGGCTATTGATTGGGTAGAGCCTGGGACCGCGCCCATTCCCGTCATCATGCCAGCAAATGACAAGAGACCAGGGGGAGATTGGGAAGCTGGTTCGTGACTTACATCTCACAAATCAGTACATCAAAACTTACCAGCGACAGGTGTAATGTCACCCGAAGAATGTCTCTGCCGGCGGAGCAACCTGTTCGCAACTCTGACAACACCAGGAGAAGGAAGTTCTGTTTCTTCACACTACCCGGTTCCTCCAACAACAGGCATCTATTCAGCAAATGTTGGTTCGTCATCCGTCTTGGGGCGCAAGTGATTCTACTAACATCTCTCAGTGGTCTTTCGAGGTGGCCCGGAGAAATATGAGCCATGGCAGGAGTACAAATGTGAGACTTTCTTATTCCGATTTTGAGTCTGCAGCTTATGCCAAATGTTCAGCCCTACCGATCATCTCAATCTGCCCTGTGAAGCGGCCAAAACTTGATAGCTCAGGATTGAAGTACTCCTTCAAACAGGAGAAGGAGCTCATGAGAGATAAGATTCGTACGGCATTACGGATAGCAGTGTATTACAGGCATATAAATCTGGTCATCGGGACTTTTGGCTTAGGACCAGGGTTTCGCAACCCGACAGAAGAAGTTGCACTCATGTGGAGGGACGCGTTACTCAAGGATCCCGAGTTCATGGGTCACTTTCGAGACGTTGTCTTTGCTTTCGACCCCCCGGAAGGAGTCACCACGACAAGCTCGAGCTCTTCCAAGGCCTCATCCTCGAAGCCCTCTTCGAAGTCATCATCAAAGAGCTCGTCATCATCAGCCTCGAAATCGAGCGTCGTGGCTGACCTAGATATATTTCGGCATATCTTCAAGCCCGCGGTGGTTCATGATGCGTTCAAGACCCCGGTGGCTTCGTCATACTCTTCTGCCTCGTCAAAAATATACTGACCGTCTAACATTGGAACTGGAATGAAAGCGTGGCGTTTGGTGTCTGCAGCGGCATTGGGATTTATCTAGGTTAGGTTTTGGGATTTTGGGAATGCTTCAGCCTGCTGGATACAGGCAAAGGTGTATGGCATGGACGAATGGAAAATTGACACTAAACCGGGGCGCTGGGAAGAGTGTGCGAGCCTGCTCTCGCAACTGATGAATTTCCTTCCACAATGACGTATCCACTACCAATCTGCTGGTCAGTTTTAGAAAGAAAAATACCACATCCACCATCAACTTCCACACTCCATTCTGCCATCCAGTTAGGCCTCATGCATGATGTCTCTCCTCGTCCACCGGCTTCCTCTTCCGCGACCACTGCTGCATGCACGTAGGAGTTCCCTATTGGCTGGCCCGTGCCTGTCGCTCAAAAAGAAGGGAGATATCGTATGGCGGCTGGAGCGGGGCAAAGAGACAGAATCTCACGTCCCCGATTCCCCGGTTGTCATCAAAAACTTCCCCAACCGTGCCACCCCAGATTCCTGCGTAACCTACCTGGCCGCTGTCCTGTGTAGCGAGGACGTCTCACAGGGTGAGACAGGGACTGTTGATCGGCAGTCGTAAGCTATCCCCATGAGCTAATTAACGCCCCCTTCAACGATAGAAGAGCACTTTGGGTAACACAGATTAAGAAGCAGTCTATTGAACTATCGGCAGTCTAAGGACTGCATGTGAGGTTGCACAGTTCATCGAGAACAATTATTAATGAAATAGAGATGCCTCAAGTCAATACTGGCAAGACTTTCAAGGAGGCATCTCCCTTTAGCGATAGGTGGGCTTCAGCCGTTGGTGGTGCTACATACTTTGCGAAGTGCAAGGGAGATCAATTTAGGTTCGGGAACAGCCTGTTTGCGGTGTGGGATGGCTTGCTTGAGGAATGTAATGACAGTACAGCCTCACCCGAACCTCCGAACGTCAAGGTACTTATGTCAAGGAAAGGAAACATGTTCAAACTCAACCCCCACGTTGGCTAATGTGGATGAACCATACTGCAAGACAGTGTTTACATGAATGCAAGACAATCCCGACAAGGTTGTTTTTGTGGACATTAAAGTGGGGTCGAGCAAGTGACAAGATAGTCTGGCCACTGGCGGCTGCCACCCGTTGAAAACTTATCCTTGTGGCTTGGGCTTTCCAATGAGATAAGAGTCTGTTTCAATGAGTTGTCTTTAAATGAAAATCACGGGCCATGAATGGGAAATCCTGTTTAGAAGACTTGGACATCAAAGGCATACCGTGCCGTTGAACCTTTTTCGATTCTGACTTGGGCGTGGATATTTCATCATCGTTGGCTTGTTCACAGGGTTTTACTCTTGAAAAGTAGCTGAAAATATGATCCCTTCCGCCTCTGACTAGTTAATAACATTCAGCTTCTTCTGTGGGTATTTTGAGAAGTTACACGCGCCATGATTCGTTTTGGCAAAGCAACAACAAATCAAATTAAATTAGTTGACGGCCGAAAATTTTGTTTGGAAAGAAACTGCATTGCCGGTCAACATTGCTGCTTGTTTCAATTTCTCCAAAGCACATTTCCCAAATCAGGCTAGGGGAATGAATACTGTGCACGAAAAACAAAGAGACTCGCTGCACTGAATGGTGTGCCTCTAAAGAACCTCATCTTACTCGCCAACCATGTCTCCTAGAAGGGCACAGGGCGTGAACATTCCTCCTTGTGGATTATGCTAGGAGTCATTTGGTGCAACAGTGTTGACTTAGCCGCCAGGCACTTCATTGTCCGAGATTCTAGGAGATCAACGACAGGAGCGAGACGAGTACGTTCATGGCATTCCCGCCGGCGAATGGAATACATTAGCGACAACGAAAACCTCAATACCATCGACTAGATATTACCTCATTAGAACGGCCAATCAATTTGCATTTGTCTCTTGCAGATGCTCGTTCCCGTCCAATAGCTCACCGCGAGGCCTATCAACTTAGGGGCTCAACTGCAGCTTGCCCCCTAAGCGAAAATTCGAGGGAAGTTCCTCCCATCGACGATGGTATGTCGGTCGTAGCAGGGAAATTCTCTATGTGTATTACGGCGTAATCCAATATCTCTTCAGGGTCTTAATTACTCTTCGCGGAAGCATTGCGGTATTATTGAGCGAGATGGAGCAAAGTGATGACTGGTGATTATTGTGGATGCATACGGGCATATATCTCGCAATATCCAGTCTTACCCTAGCAGATTTTGATACCTTGGTACTGATCCATTCTGTATAAACCCAGTTACGCAATGTAAACACTAATTGTAGATGTATCTCTAGACTTCGATTTTACATAAGCTCACACTTCAAACGTGTCATGTGGGTCACCTCGTCGCCCTCCATTTCGGTTACTCCCCGGACCCAACACACCCACTCCGCCCACAAGCGAGAAGAATCCCTATCTCAAAGGCCCACAAATAATTTTCTTCTATAAAAATCGAAGTAAGAAGTCTCGTGGCATCGAATCACGAAATCTAACCTGGTCGCCCGGGTAGCTCAATCGGTAGAGCGTGTGGCTCTTATGAACGGTTTCTCTCATTCATATGCTCGGAACAAATCACTAGATCACCTCAAGGTCGTGGGTTCGAGTCCCACCTCGGGCTCAAATCCCGAGGTTCTCTTCATTATTGAGAGCTTCTTTAATTTTGTCTCTTTTGCTGTTATTGGCTTCTGGAAGATATACATTCAATTGAAGGATCCACAAAGGGTTAAGCGAGGCTCCTCCAGAATCCCAACATAAGACATTAATTTCCTCACCATCTTCATCTGTTATGTACTTTCCATCTCCTTCCTAAGATATATTATTATGTTTCTAGGAGAAGTCTTTCCATTTCTGTAAGCCCACTGCATGTTGCTCGGGAATTATTAGCTACTTTCTTGGCTTCTAGTTGTTTGTCCAGACCTTCCTACTACCTCCACCTCCTTCTCGTGATACTGAAGTTTTCTACTCGATTTCCTTTTGCGAGTGCGAAGTTAAGTTTGGACCCCGAATGACAAAACTCTGAAAGACAGAGCTAGCGCCAAGCTTGAGGCTCGCATTCAATCCCAATCCGTAGCCAAAGGAATTTGAACTTCGTAAAGCATGCAAGCTAAGCTCAAAAAGTCTCGTGAGCTCCCCTACATCTGCAGACAAGTGACGCTGCCAGCTGACCACAGCAGCCGATCCCCGGAATATCAGAACTCGTATGTTACACGAAACTCTGAGGGATCCGGGGAAAAATCTCGGGATAGATTGACCAAGCTTTGGCTTACCTCGCGTTTCCCTGACACTAATCTCAATTTGGTTCGCCAGACCCTCGTTCGTGCAGAAGCGAATGGCCAATGACTGAAATCTAATGGTTTTTCTCCTCGGCGAAGATGAAATTGCACGATTGAATGGCACTTCAGTTAAGTTTCGAAGAAGACGCCGGTCGTTTTTCGGTCGATGCCGGATCTCTGATTTCCAAAATAAGGAGGATTCGGGATTTGGCCATCACCCAATCTTTCAAACAGCCATCAACGATCGCCGACAGACGAATATAAAAGACGGTTCTCTTCTCCGGAAACTGCAACATTTTCTCTACAGACACGTAGCCATCATCATCATCATCATCATCACAAAAACACTCTTATTACAACACACTAGTCGAACCTGGAACCCATTTCAGCCCAACATGAAAGCTATCGCTCTCTCCAGCCCTGGCAAGCCATCCACATACATCTACAAAGACATGCCTATCCCCTCCCCGCTGGCAGATCACGTCGTTATCAAAATCAAAGCCTTCGGCCTCAATCACGCCGAAATCTACATGCGCCACGGTGACTGGCCCGAAACAGATGAAGTCAGCGGCATCGAATGCGTAGGCATTGTGCACTCCAGCCCTAACGACACCTTCGCACCCGGCACCAAAGTTGCTGCTGTCATGGGCGGAATGGGCCGTAGTATCCCAGGGAGCTACGCTGAGTACACGCGTGTTCCAATTGGAAATGTGACGTCTATCGAGTCGAGCTTGAGCTGGGAAGAACTGGCTGCCATTCCAGAGTCGTACGCCACCGCTTGGTCTTGTCTATTCCAAAACCTGGAGTTGGAGAGGGGACAGACGCTTCTTATCAGGGGTGGTACGTCGGCTTTGGGACAAGCGGCTATCAACCTCGCTGTCAATGCTGGAGCGAAAGTCATTGCTACGACTAGAAATGCGGAGAGAGCTAAGATGCTGCTCGAGATGGGTGTGCAGCGTGTTGAGCTGGAATCGGCAAATCTCGAGAAACTGCTCGCTAAAGACACAATTGTCGACTCGGTTTTGAACCTGGTTGGGAACAGCGTCATGCTAGATTCTTTGGCCATAGTGAGACGTGGCGGCAGAGTATGTCTGGCTGGGTTTCTAGGGGGGCTCGAACCGATGGCAGATTTCAACCCACTTTTGCAGATGCCGAGTGGTGTGCATTTCAGCTTCTTTGGCAGCTTCGTCTATGGGACACCAGGCTTTCCCTTCTCTGATGTACCGCTGCAGAGAATTGCGAATGATGTGGCGGCTGGTAGATTTGATGCGAAACCGGCTCAAGTATTTGACTTTGGGGATATAGAGGAGGCACATAAAGTCATGGAGGAAAATCGTGCTGGTGGGAAATTGGTAGTCAAAGTTGGTTGACGTTCTGATCGCCAGTGTGCTACGAGTAGTCGTTATTTAACTAATTTTAGTCAATGCAGCCAGTATTCAAACGTTTCCCAAAGCTTTGAAGTGATTTCTGTGCGGAACTTTTCACGATCCACTCCGAACAGGCCATCCACCCACAAACCCTGTTTCAGGGCAGCCATGACCTCATCCCAAAAATTGTACTTCAGACTTACTATCAAGTCTGCCATTACCGAGACGAACCAGTCGTGAGTTTCTTTCGAAGATCTTTTGACTCCTCCAAGAAATAGTAGCCAAAGTAGGACAACATCGTCCCCATCCCAGTTAAGGGATTGCAAGCATTGTTTGAGCTTTGAAGTGTATCTATCCGTTTGCAGATCAACGCCAAACCGCTGACGTACACCAGCTAGATACAGTAGGGCTGCGAGTCTGCAAGCCTCTTGTTTGGTCATTGCTGGATCTTCCTCGATGGCGTTGGGAGGGACAGAGAGGAATTTGCTGATCACTGGTACGACGTGCAAACCTGCAAAGACGCCATCATCCCAGAGATCTCTAATTTCCAGTTCGTGAGCCAGGAGTCGATTGAGGACAAGCAGATCGGCCATTGCGAGGTGGAGGTTTGGTGTGTTGGCAATCGCCAGGAGAGGTGAGCGGCAGTCCGAGGTTAATCGTCGACCCTCGAGTTGAGGTAGAATATCGTAAGGTGGAGCGAAGCGGGGAGGGCGGTCGAAGAGAAACGAAGCGTTAACATCGAGCCTGAACGAAATTGTTAGTTTGGTTGGAAGTGGCATCAAGTTGACATATGGCTTTACCAAAAGACCATGGTCCGAAGTACTGGGTCAGACCCCAGTACTTGCATCCCCCCTTTCCGTCTGATAATCTCTTCCAGACCATGAAAGTGTGTAAGAACGCCTTGAGCATCATTGAACATGACCTAGCTTCGATTAGTACTTCATCCACATGCCAAACAAATCCAAATCCACCTACACAATGACAAGCAAAAGCGAGGATGGAAACTATGATCGCATCACCAGTACACAACACTGGATCTGCAACCAGTCTGCTCAGCGATCGAGTAGCAGTTGCTGAGAGGGAGATGGCTTCTACATCTTCCTCCTTGGAGTTACGAAGACTCGCCATGTGTGCGGACGAAGTGTAGAGAACCTGCCGGAAGGCTGCCTCGTCTCGTACGAGATGGAAGAATCCTATTCTACTCAGCGTCTTGAACATAGAACAGTCCCTTCCGTGCACTGTGTCATCTTGTCAATTCAGGGCTGATATGCGGCAGCTCAGATAGACTTACAATGATCGAATAGCTCGTGAGTCCTGATGGTCATGTCGATGGGATATCGCACAAAGGGATCTGATCTGCCAGCTCCCAAGTCACTCGGATGAGGGGTATATGGAGCAATACCCATCGACTTGTCGGCTGGATACGATGAGCTTGCATCGTGTTGAACGAGCAGAGAGGTATCCAGAATAACTTCCCTCCTCCCATTGTTCTGTTTGCCACGTCCAAGATTACGCTGTCGCCTATGCTGAATATGGCTGCGAACCTTCTTCTTCGTGTTCGAATCCCGGGTTTGGGCGATGTCTGTGAATGTGAGGAATTGTAGGTCTTGCTCAGGCTTAGAATGCTCATGTGAGTTGTTGCTGGACATTGTACCGGATTAGCACGATATTTGAGTCAATTAGAATTCAGTCTCGGGCTTTTTGAGGAGTTGCCACGAGAATGAGTAAGCTGCATACAGCCGACTTCGCCTGCCACAAGTAGGGCGTGGGTATTCACAGCATCCTATTACCTCGCAAAATTAAGACAGCAAGATACACGAGGGGTGGGGCTTGTCAAAGATCATATAATTTTGGGAGTTGTACTTTCTATGCTCGCTAATTGTACTCAAGACAACCAAAATCAAACCTCTCTCACCCATACGGATCGTGAAGCTTCTACCAGTATGGAGGTCTTAATCCAGCAAAGTTAGAAGCTATCGAGTTGTCCCCTCCGTCATCCTTTTTCCTCTGTCCGGTCAACTGTGGGATGTTAGTTTTTATGCAATTTGGAAAGAATTTATGGACTTACCTCCAACTGCACATGCCTGTGAATATGCACCAACCAATCCACATAACTCTGCGCCTCGTTATTCCGATCCTCAACTAGTAATCTCGCAAACTCATACTCCGCACCATCGAGTCCTTGTCGAGCGAGTTGAATCGTCAAAGCTTTCGATCCGCGCATCGTCTTCAGATACTCGAGAATGTTCCGTACTTGAGCGCTGAGATGTGTTTCTAATACTGGGAGTGACGAGCTGTAAGGGTCCAGTGCCTTGAGACTATCTTTGCCTTCGCCAAACAGATCGACGAGAAGATTTGGGGATGTTTGGGCGTGCATCCAGAGGTAGCAGTTCTGTCCGTTATCGACCAGGTATACACCTCCTTCTTCGACACGAGAAAATGAACAACGTATTGAGGGTGGCATGTGGAGGTGACCTTCCGGGTTCGGGAAGCCATCTTCAGGCGCAAGGTTGTGGATTGGAATCATTCGTGGGTAGAGGTAGAGGGAGAGCTCTAGGGCACCCATCGATTTGATCATTCGCATGTCGTGAACTCGTCGATCGGTCGGTTCCTGTCCGCCCTTGAATGCCCTTGATTTGATGAGACCAAGAACATACATGCTGAACTCTTTGAGATTCTCTGGTAGAACAAGTTGGCCTGGTGGATGCGAGCCAGAGAAGTTCTTTCGATACCCAGCAAGAATGTCAACATTCTTCTCTGTCAAAGCACCACGAATGTCTTTTAGGGAATTCGTGATCATTTTCGTGGCAGCCTCCTTCGCCATCAACGTGTAGACAGCATCCTGATCCACAAACTTCATGCAATCCTTCGCATTGTCACTGACACTCGCGATAACGTTTGAGCATCTGACTCTTCGTTCGCCACTTGCTGTCGTATACAGTAGAGCACTCTGGAAGTGTGCATCAAGTTTCGAATCC